ATAGTTGTTATAAGCAATATATACAAGTATACAAACATAAAAATATTTATTCTGAAAAACTTGCAGGACCAACAGTATATATATAGCTTATAGACTACAATAAGTTTTTAAAGTAATCAGTCATTTTGGTCTGTTTTTTTTTTAAGCCGAGTCTCAAATGTGTTTTGCTTTTTACGTTTCATTCTCGTCAAGATTGCTTGATTATCATCAGCATTACTCTTCGTTAAAAGCAACAAATTTTTGTAAAACTATTATAACATTAATAGCCTCGCATAGTGTTGTTGGTTGGAACTGCTCTTGGGGTCTTCGTTTTCTTCATCAGTGTTACGATTATTACTTTCAACTTCTGCAAGAATATCTTCCTCAGTAACTTCGGCGCACACGTCGGATGGGGTGGAAGAAAGTGCGTAGGCATAAGTCAAAACATTCCTTCATAGATTTGAATGAGTTTGAAAATTGTTCGTATTGTTTTATTTTACAAGCACAACGGTTGGTCGTTATAGCCGATGAATATCGATAAAGTTCCGTCGTTCTAAGCGATATGTCGCTGTATCCGATGTTGTTATAGGCGGTATGTTTACTTAACTGTTTATTAGGGATTCGGCCGGGACCTTACCATTCGGTCGTAATAACCGATTCGTCGTTATAAACGATGTCGTTATATTCGGTTTCGACTGTAATAACAATATTATTTTGGTTGCGAAACCAAATCTCCACAAGGCTAAAGGATGTGACCATCACTTTTCCCATACAAGGACACAGCTACTTGCCTGGAGATACGGAAACATTATTTACCAAAGAAATATACTTTGACATATTATACAGAAAATTTTGAAACGTGAATTTGTTGGGAGAAGACTGGGTACTGTCCAACTTTAAATTATTGGGTGATGTATACAACACTTTGATAGGGATAAGAGAGCTCAAGCGTTTAGAAATATATAAACAGGTTGTATTCGAGGAGTTGAAGGACAACACAAGATCAAAAAGAAGGGCAAACATGTTATGACATCAACAAAAGTGACAAAGATCATCCCATATGGCATAAGAAGCTCAAAATTTTACATAGACGATCTTGAACAGGGAGTTGCCACTGCTTTATTGAAGAGTGGAAAAGAACACAGAACTAACCATATTACGAAGAACAAAATGCTGAAAGCACAAAAAATTAAAGATGTAATATTATTGTTACAAAAGCATTTCGGAAACTACTGTTAACGTTGCGACGACGAATCGATTACAAAAACCGTTTTGTGTTCTACAATGCTGAAACCGTTTTATGTCCTGGGTTTAAACAGTCTGTGTTGCATAAAGCAGTCTTCGAATTATTTGGTGTGAGTTTTATTTACGCCTATGAAGATAGAGGCTAGAACGTAATGATTCAACTACCTATCTCACTCGTCGCGTCGTCGCCTTTAACGTTTCGCGTTATATTGTAGTCTTTGGTTCCGTGTTCGTTTACAAATATAGATAGAAACAAAAGAGTCCTTACCTTAGCTGTAAGAAACTACAACCATTTCACTCAATGAAAACGCAATTCTATTCAATGTTGGATAAGTTTCGCCCTTTAAGCCGTCTTCAAACCAGTTGCAAGTACGACAATTTTCTGCAATTGTTTTCTTCGTTGGTAAAACAGGTTGCATTTCGACCGTCAAAAATTCGACAAAAAATCACCACTAAGAAAAGGGCAGGATAATGGACACGACAAAGGTTGCAAATGCAAGGAAAAAAAACATTGAACTTGATATACATATAATGAATAAAATTATTTTTATAAGAATAAATAACGAAAATGTTTTTGTTAAGAAGTTTAAAAAGTACCTAGTGAATGAAATTTTTGAACTGACTTATGTTTAGACTGATCTCTCTAACTCACAAAGAACTTATTGCTTGCAATCAAAATGGCCTAACTGCAGCTTTGTAGCAATCAAAACGTAATAAATTGCACGAAAAAGACATAATTACATTTTTTTATTTAAATGCCTTCCATTGTATTAGAGATAGCTATCTCGATTTAACATATTATGTCAAATCAAATTACAAACTCTAAAACTATGCCAAAAGTTCACTGTAAGTATGTCATTCTATTTTTTACTGCTTCTTTAAAATTTATTTCATGTATACCGTTTTGTTCACCATCTCCTCATATGTTTTTGACCAACAAAAATGACAAAAAAATATGTTTCCTATCTTATCCTAAAACGTTAACAAAACTGTCCACTGAATTTAACCATACACAACCATATTGTGGAATTTACTATTGCCAATGGTTTTTCCAGACCGATTATGACTAACGGACTATCAAGAAAAGAATTTACTCTTTTAAAAGATAGGCAAAGCACCTACTAATCCTCCAATGTTTGCAGTAATTACTTACAATCAGATGAGCCATATGCTTGTTTACCTTCTCATTTATAAAAAGAACACCTCCAAGCTAAATACATGTACAATTCAACAGTAGATTAATAAGAAAACTAATAATGAAAAATACAATGTTAATAGAAGACCTACCAATAAAACTTTAGGGCAATTTAAAGTGACATTAAGTAATTAGTATCTAATACCTTTAAACAAGCAATTCTTGTATATATATAATCGGAATATCAGAAACAGCCCCAACAATTTTCATGAAATTTAGTATGCAGGGATAAATTGATCTAGCTAGGATTGATTTCTAGAAAATGTCATTTTATCTGTGTTTTCAGGCAATAAAAACTGCTACAATATCATTAGAATATGAAGGTAAATTTCACCACTATCTACAAGGTAATAATAGCTCAGGTGAGAAATCAGGTGGACCCGAAACTAGGAGACCCCGGTTCAGGTCCAGTTCGACTTTTTTTTCAAGTGCTTTCTTTTGTGAAAAAGACTATTATTGGGAGCCTTCTATCAATGCATCTAATATATATCTAGGTATATTTAAAAAGAAAACACGAAGAAAAATGACCAAGCTTTAAAAAAAGAATATGGTAATAATCAGTAACATTAGTAAAGAAATTGACATTGTGCAAATATTTTTATCCTATTGGTGATGTTTCAGTATAAAAGTCAAATTATTAACTCTTTATCCATAATCAACTTAAACATAAACTGAAAATATGACTCTTCCTGACATGTATTGGCGAGTAATAATACTATTATTTTTTAATTGAAATATAATTTCCAAAAACACGATTTCGAAAAAAAATACTGAACAAAGCTCAGTTCTCCAGGTATTTAAACTAGGGTCTACTTTTATTCTCGGAATGTGATTGGGTACAATTTGGAAGTATTATCGGCTATAATAGACAACCATAACATGACTATTGTTACAGTCCTTGACCAGACCACTCCTAAACACAGGTCTCGTCTAAAGAATGCCACAAAACACAGGATTTCTTGAATAAATAAGGTTATTTTGTATTTATATACTCACGGAATTTTTCAGTTTTGCATACGCCTCAGTAAATTTATCGGCATCTTTTGTGGAGACACTTGTAAGGCGACTATGTATTTTTTGGCAGAGCAATCTTTCATCTTGAATAGGGCGGCTTTTTTCATTTGTAGATGATAAATATGATAGAGCCAATTCATACGCTGTATCTATAAGAAACACAATTTTAAGTCACAGTCAGTCATAAGCTGTTACTTCATATGATTTAAAATTATAACCGCAACGACACACCTCTTTTTATTTTAATCAGAATATCTTTAAAATAATCGAATAAAGTATTCATAAATGAAGTATGAAAGTGTAATTACGAATAAAATAAACCAAATGTTATTCTAATTTTCTAAAACTTTGTATTTATTATTTAAATAAAGAACCAAACCTGGTTCGGGTGACAATTCTTCACATAATTGACGAAGAAGAACAGTTACATTAGTTGAACTTATATCCATTATGTGTTATTATAATTCTGTAGCAATAACAAAATTATGATAAAATATGTTTTAATAGATATTCAATCAATTCCCCCTATACAACTTCATTATTTCTAAATATTTTGTTTGTTGATAGGTAAAAGTCAACTGTCAAAACAATTTAAAAAATCTGTGATTTTTTTTCTTTTTGGAGTTTATGGCCTGGTATCTAGACCTTTAGGCCAAGTCTTGAGTATTTTTATTCGGTTTATTATAATTTCTCCAAATGTATAATTATCAACAATAAATTTTGGGGGTTCCCCATACTTAGAACTGAAACTCAAAAATTTTTTTTCTTCAAACCTATAGGTGTGGGGTATCTATGGTTAGGTCTTCAAAAATGATATCGAGGTTTCTGATATAATTTTTTTCTAAACTGAATAGTTTGCGCGAGAGACTCTTCCAAAGTGGTAAAATGTGTGTCCCCCCTGTAACTTTTAAAATAAGAGAATGTGCGTAAACTCTAAACGAAAATTGCTTTGAACGAGATCTAGAAAGTAGTTTTTTTTAATACGTCATAAATCGTAAACAGCAATTTACCTTTCATTCAATCAATTCAAATATAAAAATAAGATAAAAACATTTAATTTCATAAATATAAACCTTATGCATAAACCGTGAACCATTATTTTCTAATAATAAATCTCTAAAAGGTGCCTAAGTAAATAATAATTATAATTCGCGTGGGACGTGGCTTGATCGGTAGCGGGTGCGGAGCGCGCGGGGGCAGGTTCTTGACTGCGCCTACCCGAGTGTGCAGAGGGCAGACACGTGAGGGCAGACGTCATTGACTTTTCTTTTCTTTTCGTCTTAATTTTTCGATACATTTACGAATGCTAAATATTGTACGTTTACGATTTGATACTGTTTTCATTGGATAAAATTAATTTCAATTACTTAATTTAAACTCTTCTTATGAAATTATTCTTTTAAACTCATTTACTGCTTAGAAATAGGTAAATACTTACTATAAAACGTCAACCTAATAAAAGTTTTGAGATTTTCTGTTCCGTTCCTTACATCTAAATATATAATATACCTACCTACTTCAATAATACCTACTCATATTAGAATAACACTTAAGTGTTATTTTAAGTATGAATTCCTTGGCTGATGATACTTTCTCCTATGTATTAAACCCAAATAACGTCCTGGAAGATGACGTCGTGCGAGCATTTCATGAAAAATTGTCTCGTCATACATCTTTCCGTCCACGGGAAGTGAGTCTGTTCAGGTTCCCGGAACTCATTGAGCCTGTGCCACCAAATGAGTCTCATCTCCAAATTATTTATGATGGTGATGTGGGTTCAATAGGACACTGGTCTTGTATTTATTATATCAATGGTATACTACGCGTGTACAATAGTCTTTATAATTGTTTAAAGCCAACTCAAAAAACATATATTAATGCATTGTTTCCATACCTAGCAGAATTTAATATTCAATTTCCTAGCGTGCAAAGTCAACTCAATGCAATAGATTGCGGGCTTTATGCAATAGCTTTTGCCACTTATTTAGCGCTTAAAATGAATCCCTCTCTACACAATTACGTACAAGAAATGATGAGATCTCATTTGCGCTGTATGATTTTGAGTAACGATTTTTTGCCTTTTCAATCTACAGCTAGACCTGTTAATTGACGTCCGCCTGTAAATCTTTTTGATAACACAGCTTTCAAATTAGAAACGCAAAATGAAATGGAAAATGAGAAGAAACAAAGACAGCGAAGTACGAAAAAAAAATGCTGTAGCAATATGTAAAAATAATGAAAATGATGTTGCAGGGGAAACAAGTAAAATATCTAAACTGGATGTACAAGAGATTAAAGAAAAAAATGCAAACAGGAAAAGGATTTCAAGATCTAATAATGAGATCGCCGAAAGAGGAAAACAGAGAAATAAAATGGCTATCAATTCCGTAAGGAGTAATAAACGGAAGAAGCTAACGGAAAAGGAAAATAATAATTCTATCCGACGAAGCAAACGATTAAATCCTGAGTGCAGACTAATTGAACAAGAACGCAATACTCAAGCTCATAAAGTTGCTCGATTAAATCCTGAATATAGGCAAGCTGAACGAGAGCGCGACACTGAGGCTCACCAAGTCGGCTCGGCACCGACTCGGCTCTGAATACAGGCAGGTGGAGCAAGAACGCGACACTCAGGCTCGGCGAAGTATTCGAGAAAATGAAGAATACAGACAAATTGTACAAGCACGTGCTACCTTAGCGCGGCAGGAAATTCGATAAAATAATAAGGCATTCTGGGAAAAAACTGCTACAAAATATTATAAAAACATCAAAGAAGGTTTTACTCATCCCTGTAGTTGTTGTTGAAGAATGTGGCATATAAATTAGATAAGAAAGCTGTCAAAACAAGGCATTACTACTAAGTTTGGCGAAGAATTTGCTACAAACACATTCAAGTTACCAAACATAGCTAGTGAAATATTTGGAGAATTTTGTAGTACCTGTGCAAAATATATCACTCAAGGCAATGTTCCACGATTAGCTATTGTGAATGGCTTAGTTTTTCCAGATATTCCTGAGGTACTAAAACAACTAACGCCGATGGAAGAGAGGCTGGTAAGCCCTCGTCATGTGTTTTTAAAAATTGTTCGAAAAGGTCAAGGGTTAGGTTTTCAACACGGACTAGTAGGAAACGTTATAAACGTGCCCGTACAAATCAACAATATCATTAGCGCATTACCTCGATCAACAAATGATGATAATGTAATTACTGTGGAATTACGACTAAAATTATGCTATAGGCATGGGCGCAAAGGGCAAATTCGACCTGAATACGTTCATAGAGCCGCACAGTACTTGGTAAATTGTGATTTGTTTGAGGAAAATGCAATCAATTTAAATGAATCTTGGGATGTTGAAGAAGTTGACGATAATATAGAGTGTACGTGTGTGATGGAGGTATTGCAGAAGAAGGAGAGGCGGAAGAAACAGTCAATCCAGGACTTATCAAGACTCTATTAGATGACAATCAAGACGTAATAGTAATGGCTCCTGGCGAAGATCACGTCCCAAAAAACGTTATTATTTGATGAAAATTGAGAAGAATTGGCGTTTATTTAAGTTCACTGTGGGATTAAGCGAGACTATAAAATTAAGTTGAGTCATGCAGAAGTTATAAAATCGAAAATATCTAGATTTGACCGTCGAGCTGTACGACCAGACTACCTGTTTACTGCTCTAAAAAAACAACAGATGATTACAGTAAAGAATAGCATACCCACCTGCCTACGAAAAAAACTGTCAAAGGGGCGCCTGTTCTGGCGTGTAATGTTTTGGATGCTAATTATATAGATAATTTATTCCAACATGACGACGGATATCGTGTTCTTTGGGATGTAAGAAAATCCCGATCTCATTGGGAAGCAGAGAAAAAGAAAGTCTTGGGAGTGATAAGGCAATTCGGAGTGCCTTCGTTCTTTGTCACTCTGTCTGCTGCAGAGGCCTAGTGAACTGAACTTCTGATAATACTGAAAGATATTGTCGATGGTGAAAAAATTACTGAATCCGATGCTGAAAGACTCACATATGAAACGAAGGCGCGCTTAATTTAATCTGATCCTTTTATATGTGCTTCATATTTGGAAACCAAACTAAGAGAAATTCGCAAAACCTGGTCTTGTCCTGAAGGTCCTTTTGGTAAATACAAAATTAGCCATTTTTATTATAGACTTGAATTTCAGCACAGAGGTTCGCCCCATGCTCACATAATATTATCGAAGAAGCACCGATTTTTGTACCAGGAAATTCGGATACTGTTCAAAATGTAGTTAAATTTGTAGATGAAATTGTATCTTGTCATAGTAACGAGATTACAGATGACCTTCTTCGCCTTCAGACACACAAACACACTCACACTGACCTGAACTTGATAGACCATGTCGCTTCGATATTCCATTTTTTCCTATGGATTGTACCATAGTATTAGTGGAACTCCCAAAAGATGACGCTTGTTATAAAAGGGTCAAAGGTTTAGCTAAGAATATACAACTAATCCTACAAAGTTTGACAGACGAAATAAAAACATTTGAAGAGTTTTAAGACGTTTGTAATGTTACATATGATGATTACATTTTAGCTATTAGAAGTAATTTGAAAAGGCCGAAAGTATTTTTGAAGCGACCTCCAAAAGATGTTTACATTAATTCATTCTCCAAGAAAATCTTAGAGTTACATCAGGCAAACATGGATGTTCAGTACATCTTAGATCCATTTGCTTGCGCAGTGTATATTGTAGATTATATAAATAAAACTGATAAAAGAATGTCACGTTTGCTTCGAGATGCTGTAGAAGAGGTCAAGAAAGGAAATAATAGTGTAAAGGAGTCTCTACGTAGTATTTCAAATGTATTCCTGAACGCCAGTGAAATTTCTGCGCAAGAGGCGATATATTGTATATCAGGTCTTCCATTGTCACGAGCTAGTGAAGCAGAAATATATGTGAACACTAGTTTGCCCCAAGAAAGAGTAAATATTTTAAAGATTATGCAAGAAATTAGAAACATGGATGAAGATTCATCAGACATTTTCATAAACAAAAGTGTTTTTTGCAACAACAATATGCCAACATTAATTTTTGGAGACTTCAACGAAGATTTTTTAAATGACAATTGTATACTGTCATTCATTCAGAACGCTGGATACAGGCCGTTATTACCACCTTGTCCAACTACGCGAGGAGGCACACAAATTGATAATATTTTTGGAAATATTTCTTGTCAAACTGGAAGATATATTAACTTGTTTAGCTATCACAAGCCTATATGGGCTCGCATGTAGTTAGATCTAAATCCCATCATTTAGGTACCCAATTATAATGTTTACTTATCAATAACTTGATTAAAAAATACACTATTATTAAAACATCGATTAAAGTTAAAACGAACTACAAGAACTTTTATATTTATGTTACTTGCTGCAACGGAACCCTTCATGGGTGAGTCCGACTCGCACTTGGCCGCTTTTTTGTTAATGCGTTTACAAAAAAACGATAGTAGACACATTCAAACTTTTTTGAAAACACCTAAAAACCTGCTAAAAAGAAATCCCTGCCTATTTCACAGAAATTGAGCACCTAACTCAAACCAAATTCTGGTTTCGCAAAAAGTTCCGGTGGTTTTATTTTTTATGTATTAAAAACAGGTCTGTAGATAAAATATTCTTTGTGTTCAAATCATTTATTATTCATGTTCAAAGTGTGAACCTTGGTTTCTATTTGCGGGCCCTATTTCGCACTTTAGTGGTTTTTTTATAATATCTCTGTTTTTATTTTTTTAATGCTTCATTAATTTTTGCCATTAAATTTTCCCAAGTCGTTATTTTTCTCAATCTAAACCAGCTCTTTAGCTCGACCTCAGACACGGAATTTCATAGGGGCTATTTGGGCTGTATATTTGGTTACGGTAAATAAGGTTCCTTATTAGGATTTGGCTAAGAGTATAATTAAGCAAGCTACAGTGCGCTCGTATCGCTCATTGTCATTATGCCAAGCGTAATCAGATGTCCTATATATATTGATACATAGTTAGAGCGGTTGAATAGTGATGCGCAATTTCGGCGTCAATCTTGGCATATCAACTTTGTGTTATAGCCATGGTTATAGCATGGTGCGGGTGACAGTTTGACAGGTTACTTGCGTGTGTTTGCAACATTTTGAATTATGAGAAAATAACACTGAATTTGTTTTTATTATATTTATCTATTCTATTAAAACTATTAAATTAACGTAAACTTAAAAAATCCCACTTAATATAGTTTTTTTACTAATAAAATTATAAAAGTTTCATTTATTTCACTTGCGTGCGCAGTTACCTATTATACATACTAGTGATAATTTTTTTTAATTACTAGAGATGTTGACTCGCATTGTTGACAATGGTTTTGTTAATTTTGGCATTTTAAATAAACAAACTCAACAGACAGCAAAAATTAACTATACAAAATACAACAATAAACTCAATTATCTTAAGTAAATGCAAAATAAACTCTACTGGAAATTATAAAGTGGCCGATAATGTACTTCGTACAAAACGCTAGGCGCTAGCATAGATTATACACAATTAGTAATAACGGGTGACCCTTGATTTTTTACGACTTGATAATTATGACACCAAAATGAATACATCTGTAAGCTGTTACTGTGGCTGATACTTCATTTAAATATTTTAGCTTTGACATTTCATATTTTCTCACCAAACTCGGACTAAATAGTTAACATCAAAGTTTTAAATTTTATGCATACTGTGTTGGCGAGATATAAATATTTTCATTCATGATGTTTCGTTTTTTCTCTCATCGAGTGATGCTGCCCGCCTAGCCACGCTATGTATCGACGTCGTCAATTCGACCATTATTTATTGTTATTTTTTTATTTATTAAATTCTTCAACAGTTATAACACAATACATTTAAATAAAAGGTACAAGTTCTAAAATGTCTTATCCTAAGTGCATAACTACTTATAGGGAAACACATCATGCGCTTAATAATAATAATTTACTTATACAACGTACAACAACAGTGGTGACTTTAATTTAACACACATATACGATTTCCTATTTTCGTTTCATGAAGAAATTGTATTTCTATTAAACGTTATTATTTACGGATTTATTTA